GTAACTAAAAGTAAAATAATAAAACTGTTTTATTATTTTACTATTATGTTACTATTATGTTATTCATATTGACAAACTTTCTGTTATTTTACTGTTATTCTGCTGTTATGCTACCATTATACTGCCATTATTTGACAAATATAAGGTAGAATAATAACATATTTTTTTTGTTATTTACCTATTATTCACTCTTTATTTATTCATTTGATATGTGTATATTAATTAATAACTATGTTAAGAAAGTAAAGAGAAAACAAGAGAGAACAAGAAAAGGCGAGGATTAATAAAAGAATAGGTTAAAGAAAGAACTTAGAAGAGAAGAATAGTACTAGGAATAGAGTGTTATGTGTAGCATAACACATAGTATATGGTTTATGCTCTATTTCAAATGTCTGTCTGTATGTGAAATCTTTAGACTGATTGGTCCATAAGTTGTAGCAGAGTAAAACTTGAGATTTTTGTGCTTAAGCTTCACACTTGTTACTGCTTCACATGGCTAATAGTTAGTTGTATACTGTAATTGTACTGTGAATTATCACATAGTTTGCTCTTATGTTTGATCTAAAAATATGCTGTTTTTTCACTATACTGTCTGATGTTGTCTGGTTAATGTGATTTTTATATATAGATTTATAGATGTGATGTTGATGGTTTAGTCGATAGAGAGATTGAGAAGATAAATTAAGGATATTATTATCAATAAAGTCTAGATTTTATTTAATAACCAAATTTTAACTTGATTTTATAATGAATTTTATATGTCATTAACTAGATACCATTTGTGTAAAATGTATTTGTGTATTTGAATAAAGGTACTGCTATGCTATTGCAATAAGGCTTATTTATTATTATTGCTTGTTGTATATGTACAAGCCTCTTATGCTTTTGTTAAATTTTGCTTATTTCTTATCTTCTAATTATTATTGACTATAATATTTAGCATATTGAAATATTTAATACTTTAACTGATTTGCATAATAGTGATATAAATTACTTTTTTTTATTTTTTTTTTATTTTTACTAATCTAACCCAAACTATGCTCAAGTATTTAATTAAAGACATTTATGATCAAATAAGTTATTATTATAAGTTATTATTTATTAATGACTTATTGGCTATTGGGCTATTTTAATGTGTATAAACAATTTGTATTAATTTTATGATGTTGTGAATATGCTACTTCTATCTGTTTATTTTGTAAATAGTAATTTCAGCTTTGCAAAAAAAATAATGCAAAATGGTTTCCCATATTGCTCTTCTTGTAGTTATGGTTAGTATAAAACATAGTCACTTATGTTCACATGGTATTGCTAAATATAAACTTTCAAAAGAATTATCTTAGACAATTAGGTTCAAGTATTTCCTATCTATAGAACAACCTGTCCAAACATTCATAAGTAGAGACATTATATTTATTTCAGGAAAATTTGTTATTGAAGATTCTGAATCATGTTTTACTGTAGCATATTTAAGCATTGTCAATAATAACAACCCTGATCATGAATTTGATATGACCAGTATTCCTTTATGTATGCCTTACTACATATATTCTGTAGTTGTCAATTGGGTGCTGAGAAAAGTTGATAAATTTATCCACTTTGGTGCAGAGACTATTAAGTATAACTCAGTCACTAATAAATCTGATGTGAAAATAGATATGACTATTATTTATTCTCTTTAATCAATTAGGTTCAAATACTTAGGCCCTCTGGGCTCGAGTATCAAAATACAGAATATCTATTTCATATCAAAGTTACTCAGATTTTCTAAATTTGAAAAAATAATAATTAAGATAACTGATATCGATTATATAAAAACCTCAACTATTAGCATTAACTCATTTGAAAGTTCTTCACCAAGCATACTAGGGATACTAACAATTATTGATATTATTAATAAAGATATTGATTTTGCTTTTACTAGGTTAACTAAAAAAAATGTTGATGTATTTGATTTTTCTTCAGCTACTATTGATAATAATCATATTGATTTGGATCTACTAATTATAGAAATTAAATCTGATAATGACAATGAGACTTTAGAAGATGAAGATGATGAACAGAAGGAAGAACTTTAACCTAAAAAAAGAAAGAAAAGTTCTTTGAAAAAATAACCTTTTGTTGTTCAAATTATCTGAGCAGATGTCTTTATTAAAATCTCTATAACTGCACTTCTTACAACCAAAGTTTAATAATATATGCTTATATATTATAAGAAATGCATTTGTAAAAATTATATATATATTGATCATAATTTAAATATGCACTAGAGAAGAATGTGCTTATAGAGTTTTAACACATATTGCTTAATAAAATATCACTCAGAATAACACAAGCAGTCTTTTAAAATTCTGTATGTTTTTAGTTCTTATGTATAATATTTATTTGGCTTACTAATTTCTAGAATATCAATAAATTTTTATTAGTAATAATATGTCAAAACTATCATAACTTAATGATCTTTGGTTTTCTCAATTCTGCTATGCTATAAAACCTTTATAAATAATCTTTTACAAGTGCACGCCCTTTATATATATGTTCAATTATTCCATTCTAAGCTTAAAGCTAGCACTGGATATGTATTATATAACTGCATACAGTTTATGTTTTCTCTATTATAACTTATGAAAATTCTATAAATTTACATTTTATAAACATACTTTCTTTTTCTTTATTTTATTTTTTTGTTTTTTTATAAAAGTGCTAGTTACAATCTAGTTCCCTAAATCATACTCTCTTTAAGTACATATGTACAATCTTTTTTTTGTAATAATCTTCTCTACAAATAAATTTCTGCTAGAATTTAATGCTATAGTAAATTGCAATAAAAATTACAAAAACAGTGATTAATTATGTTAAATAGATTTCTGTTTATATTATATATTACTTTCATGAAAATATTTATTAAATAAAAAGTTCAAATAATAAGTCTTACAACTCTATATAGTCAATTTACTATTATAGTACTTGTAATCCAAAAAAATATCAAATAACATTTTGATTTTTAGATTACTACACTCTTGTTAAATTGCTAGAATAACAAATTATGTAATATCACAATAAGAAAAAAAGCCCAATAAAATTTTTATTTTTATTTTAATCGATTATCTTTGTTCAAAGAAATATGATATATCAAAATTGGTTTCAATTGCTCTTACTATTTGCTTGAATTTCCTATGATGAACATAGAAACTTGAGGTGAAATTAGAAAAAGAAAATCTTGTGAATGAATCGCTATTCAACGTAAAGATTCTCAATTTCGCAATTTCAAAAAAGATAAAAATCGACAATACAAAAGTAAACATCATTGTAATATAAATTATGTCCATACATCTAATATATTAGAAAACAAATACAAAAAAATAAAGGGAACCACAATTTATTTTGCAAACAGGCTTAATACGAATAATTTAAATATTTTACTATGTGTTCTAAAAATGGATCAAAAATTTGAAGAAACACTTAATCGATATACTGACTGGCTCTGCTTAATCGAAAATAAGATAGCAAAAAGTGCACTGGCTGAATTCTATAATAAAATCAATTTTAAAGAATTATGTGAATTATCATATACTGTTTGTTTTTTTTTTTTGGAATTAAGGTGAGGTCATGCCTCAAGTCTGTTTATTCGAACATATTGTTACAGTTTGTACAACTTTTTTACATTATACAT